GCCCAGACCCTGCCTGCTTGCCTGCAAGCCCCTTGCAGGCAGCACGGTTCTCCGGCCCCCTCCAGTGGCTACAAAACAATGCAGAGAAGTCAGCTACAGAGCAGGATTCAGGCTTTTGCAAATCCCGTCCCTGCTCTTTGCTAGAGAGCTGTACCCCTCCTTCCCATGGCGAATCAAATAATTAAGCAGACAGCCACGCTCTTGCACTAGAACATCTTTATTCAGTTACACATGGATCCAGGCCCACCACAGATACCTCCTATCTGCTCTCAGATCTGATCTTGCTGCTGTGCACAATCATTTTACCCTGGGCAAAGCCAACAGACCACTGATGAGCACTTCGTGAAGTGGGACTCTCACCTCTATTCTGTCCCGGGCAGGTTCTTACACTGCTTCCTTCACTGAAACAGGAAGGGCTAAAGAGCTGCTGTACCTCAAAGGCCAGTTTTGGTTTAAAAAGTGCTTTACTTAACTTTGGGGATGGGGGAAAAAAAAGAAAAACCGAAAAAAACACTTCGACCCAACAGATGCTGTTCTTCTGCCTTTTGCAAAACTCCCAAAAAGCAGGAAATTACATTTGGGTACCACCATTTCGTGCTCTGGAAATCCCCTATAGCAATAAAGACAAGAAGAAAGCCCACGAAAAAGACTGCTTTGGATCTGCTTTGCTTATTCCAGATCTGGTTTGGTTCTTTAACCATTTTCCAAATCTTGTTATCCCATCCCACCCATGCTTATAGCAAGGCCACACAATGCCCACTTTATATATAATGCACAAATATAATAGGCATTCTTCAATATAGGGGAGGTACACTGCAGAAATGTTTAATTTCCCACCCATGACTTCACGATACTCATTTGTTATTCATGTTAATTGAGCATGTCCCATCGACAACATGATAAAGAGACCTTTACAAAAGAGAATGCTTTGCTACATAGGAGGAAATGGTAAAGTCCCAGTTAAGGCAAAAATAAATGCTGCTTATGTAGTGTGAAGATACAGAATATGCACATATTACTCAGATTTCATATTGGAAGACTGCTGTTTCTGGGATTTAAAAGGACAGGGACAGTCAGAGGCTATAGGTTTTGGCCCTACAGGATAGGACACTGTGGTATACGAATATCATGAATCTATTTTGAGATTCATTATTATCTCTCTACAATGAAAATTCCAGACCTTCTAAGTCTGCGTATTAAACCACTTCACTTCGGCAAAGCTGGGTTTATGTAGCTTCAGCAACCAATGTCCACAGGGACTTACTCTAACAGTAATCTTTGCACTTACAGCTTAATATTAAGTGAGTTGTCCCCCTGAGTTGGACTCCCTTCAAGCCCTCAAGCCAAAAGAAAGACCATCCAGGTTTAACACCGAGACCTCTGCAAGGAGGCACAGTCCCTCAGTTAAGATCAGAGTTGGATAGGTAGTCCAGGCAAAATGTCTCCTGCACTTCAAAGCTTTGATTCTGCAAATGTCCAAGTGATTGACGAACTTCAAGCTTGTTTGCTACTGGGTTGGGAGAACCATCCTTTGACCTGTGGATCAGGGGCTGGAGATATCCATGGTCAGGGGAATCCTTTGGACTCCACATCGGTTGTATTTGAAGACTCATGTAGTCCTTCAAGCTTGAAGTCAAAAGAACTACCCATACACAGGGAGGCCAAAGTCCCCACCCCCAGTATGGCTTGAGCTTACCAGTGGGACCTACAAAGGAATCATATCAGTACCAGGTATTGACTCTGTGCATGGGAAGAGGGTGCTCTTTGCAATTTCACTCACATGGGAGTTACGGTTCTGGGAGGGAGCACAGTTGCTGGACTGGTCAGGCTGGCTATCCATAAACACACTGCAGGACAGTGTCCAGGCAAGGGCACAACAGTCAACAAACCAAATACCGAAGCACCTATGATTAAAATTGTAACAGGTTATCTGCAGAGGCTTAGCTTTAACTATATACTGGAGCTACATCAGGCACTGAGTTAACAACTAAATTCTCCATATTTCTTTGGGCCACCCTCCATCATTCACACCATGGCGTTTCACCATAGCTCATTCCAGGTGGAGCCAGCTCTCCTGGAGCATATGCCTTCCATGTCCATCCTACCACCTTCACCAAAAAGGCACTAATGGATGACCGGTTTGCAAAACTGCACAAACAAGTAAAAATCAAGGGGAAAAAAGCCAACCCAAAGAAGCTGCTGCCATGGCATTTTCTCAAGACAATCTACCTCATTTTCTACCTCTATACACTGGAGCTAGAGAATATGTTCGGCCTGTGCTCCTGCAAAACATTATGGTTCCACCGGCAAGGTGACAAGAGGCTTTACAACCTGTTTGCATCTTTCAGGCATGTTAACACTTCTATAAAGCAAGCGCACAACTCTCAGGCAACAAGCTTATGGGCTGCCCTGGCCTCCAGCATGGTGAAAACCTAAACCATCTGCAAGCCTGAAAAGGAAACAGTGCAAAACTGCTGCCTTCTCACCTTGAAAGCATGCCTACAGCTACATATCCTTGCCATTATATCTCACCTGATGAGGGTTTTGAAAGTATCCTTTGCTTTAGTATCTGAGCACTGAGTGTAACCACCACATTTTAGCCTGTTCTCAGCAGTGCAAATTGTGCCACTTATCCTAAAATCAGCAAGTAGAGCAATGTAAGGGGCCAGCCGGACCTTCCAGGCCTGGCCATGAAATTGAAATAGCAGGAAACAATCAAAGACTGCATTTTTCCTGCCCCTCCTCCTTCTCTGAAAGCATCTTAGAAAGGCACGTGTTCTTCAGCAGATAACAAAACATGCAAGAAAGTCCGTTGTTGCTTATTGAACTCCACCCTAAATACAACCCATAGTGGGAGGAACAGAAACTGAACTGTGATTTTGCATTAATGCCTCTGGAAGAAGAACATTTGGTAACTAGTGTCAAGACCTATGGGGCAAGTCCATGGGGCAGCCTTGAGGATCTGCTCCTATAATGGCAGGATAGCCAGGGCTGTCAGCCAAAGGCATTTGAAACTGAACTGCAAGGCAGCTTAAACAACCCCACTTCTCTGTTACTGCAGTGGGTCAAGGAGAGAGCGAGCAGAGCTAGATCCCATTCCCAAGAGGGGCTGTCTTACTGTCCTTGCCATTCCATGCTGAACTCAGCTCTCAACAACAGGTCCCTAGGCACTAATACCATACAATAAATAAATCCCCAACATCTTTAGGATCACATCTGAAAACATACCATTGCCAACTCCATGAGCATGGGAAGAATATCTGATAAAGAAAAATTGTCCAAAAAAATCAACTTACAACACAGAGACTAGAAAGAACTTGAATCAAGTACCAACATTACCTGAGTTTTTACCCAAGATCCTGAGGGACCATCATCTCTGTCCTTCTAAAGTTGCTCTTTTGACAATGTTTCCTACACAATGACTACGTTGCTACCATTAAGGAGCTGGCTGACCCTGAGATCCCAATGAAAGGCTGTCAACTCACTGCAGAATGACACTCTTCTGTGAGCTTGTGACATGAAGGTAAACAGTAATGTAGAGGCACTGGAAATCAAAGGAGCCCAGGCTGCTGGATGCAACATTGCGTTTAGAAGCACATAACCTCCTAACTCTTCAAGAAAAGACAAGAAGTCCTTTCTTCTCCCTTTTCCACAATGCTGGCAGAAGCAGTATGCAAACAAAAAGACCTGTTAAGTGGATCTGCGAGGGTTTTCTGTGGTCATACTGCCACTGTGGAATACGGAGTAAAAGGTAAGTAGGAATTTCCTATTTCTATGTGACTACTTCATTGTCAGCTATTTTACCGGGCCTTCAATAACATCATAATCACTGCAATAATGCAAGCAGGCAGTCTAGAGATCATTTTGGTGTCTTTTTCTTCATAATCACACAGATATATTCACAGGCATTGCATCAACCACCATCCAGCACAGCAACACAACAGTTTAATTTAGCAACCCCTCCACTTGTTGCTCCTGGTCACTTCGAATATTCAACCCATTTTACAGTGAACAGAAGATAAATTTAGCCATTGCTTTTCCAAAAAGTACCCTAGAAACCTTTCAGGTTCACGTGCTGGCTTCATCTGAGTATCGCAGTCCTTGTCCCACCACGACTGCAGTGGTGACTGAACCATAGGGATCACATCCCCACAACAGGCTGTGTAGCTATCAGTTTCCAGAGGTGAAGCTACCTTTTCCTCTTCTCTCCATGTTTTCTCATTCATGCTATGGCAGTGGTCACAAGACTTGACCCAGTCCCAAGCAGTCGGGAGGAAGACCAGCCAGCCCCTGCCTTGTCCATTACAGTGCTGGAGGGAGAGCCAAGCTGCCACAGCAGATCTGGTGCTCTGTAGAAATGACTCAGACAGGATAGGATTACATATTCTGCTACTCTCCCATCTGTGCGATGGGGCCTCTACACAAAGAAAGCCAAGTCAGCAGCTACCTTGCAGCACGTAGAGACACGGATACAATTTCCCAAGTAACACACAGCACTGGACAGGAAACTTGGATGCATTTCACACCAGAAGAGGACAGAAGAAAATACACCCACTTTTACAGCAGCAATCACAAACTTCATACGGAAGAGAAAGGCCAGGTACTGGCAGCAGAAAGAGAAGAGTGCTGTTGTAAAACCCTTACCAATGCAAGGAGAGACTCCCTTGTATGCTATAGGAAGAGGAAAGGCTTAACTACGGACACTTTCCCCACGCAGAAGTGCCACTGAGACCCAGGGTGTGTGTAACACAGATCAATAACAGAGGTAGAGTCATAACAAACAGACATATGCTAACAGCTATAGGATATATTGTATTTGCTCATGTAACAGCCACACACACTTACCGGCCTCAATGCCCAACCAGTTGCAAACAAGAGATCACCAGTTAGATAACCGGTAACTTAAGAATAGACACACAAAATCACTGCACCCTAAATTTGGAGAGGAAAATCACAGGGGCAGGGAATTATGTGCACTCCATGAGCAATACAGTATTTCACTGCGGGGGAAGGGATAGGACTGGCACCTGGCTTTATCAGCGCACTCATTTACCAAATCAAACTGTCCCGGAAAGCAGCCAGTTGCCCTTTAACTGTGTTCGTGAAGTAAAAATTGTTTAATGGGGTCTGGGATTGGAAGGATATGGATCAGATCCAGACGAGATTTGCCAAGTATTCTTCGTACAGCTATGCGGCAGAGAGACAAGAGGCTCCGGGTGCGGCCTGCAATGAAGAAAGCAGAGAAAAACTATTGAGGGACAGAGAGAGGAAGAGAGAGGGATAACAGCGCGTAAATTGTGCTGAGCTCTGGCTGACAGCTGAGGAGCCATTTACCCCTTCCAAACGCCGAGGCCACGTCCTGCACAGCAACACAAAGGCAGCGCAGGAGAGCTGAGCATGCACAAATCCTCCCTGTCAGGAGGTCAAACCTTTTGGCCAAAGACTTGGAGCAACGACAGCTGTCACACAGGCAGTTTGGAAGGGCAAGCTGGAGACTGCATGGGGTTGTGACCATGTAGGCAGTCCCTGCATGACAGGGTTCAAGAGATCACTGCCAAATCCACACCAGGGGAGGCTGTGAGAGGCTTTATACTGTTTGGATCATTTTAAAATTATGTGGACCTTATTTTTGCTCTAAATCGCCCCTTGGGAAACAACAGCATTGATGACCACCTCAGGCCTTGTCCCAACTTTCTTCTGAAGGCTTCTTTTGAGTTCATGGAGAGCTCTTCCAGCACAGGGACAAGAGGATGGTGGTGTCCATGTTGATTCAGGAACTGGACCTCCAAGGCACCACTCCATTATCCTGCATGCTCTACCTGAGGAGTCCCATTTGCCTCCTAAACCCAGGCTTAATGGAAACCACCTGCTCCAGCTTACGTGCAACTCTTCTCAGCAGAAGTCCAGGCAGGCTTAAAAACCAGGCACGTGCAAAGCTCAATAACTTTGGGTGGGGGCTGGTGGTTGTATCCCACATCCTGAATCCCTTTCGAATTTCTCTGGAGTTCAAGAGGGAAACCCCACTTCCGACCCTGGTGCAAAGCCCTGGCCTTCACCAGCTGAGCCTGGTGGTTTTACGAGGTGCTGCCCTTGCTGGAACAAGGGTGCGCACTGTATTGATGTTGCTTTTGTTATAAAAAGAAAGAAATAGCAGGTAAATTTAGGCATGTTCAGGTCTGAGGCTCTGGTTTACTTCTTTTGTAACTTACTTTCTTCCCAGAGGATGTTAAATTTAAAAAGCCAGCTTTTTCCCACCTTTTTCCACCACCACCTGAACTCCCTCCTGCCACTTGCTACCACCATTTGTGGCCTTACTTCCCAAGTAGCCTGTCCAGATTACAACTGTCTCTTGGGTCCCTCCCTGGGCCACCCTGCAGAGCACACGATCACTCAAGAACAGTGAGTGCACATCTGCATGGCTTTGGAGAACTGGATCTCACTGGATATGCCATAATCCACCTGTGGTCGGCATATCCAACGCCCAGCTCTGATAGGACCCCACTGCCTAAACCTTGCCTCAGGCTGCTGAGGACACGGTTAGGCCATGGCGAACTGCTGGGAGAAAGATAAAAAAGGTCAAGTTACAGACAGAGGTTGGGCTGCTGAGATAGGCATCATTGGTAGCTGAAGAACTCAAGAGGGAAAACACCACGTGAACATCCAAAATGCAACAGGAGAAAAACGGGAGTCTAGCCGGAGGTTTATGGGGAAGTCTTTGGGTTGAGTCATCAGTGTTGACAGAGCTGGAGGCAGGCAGCAGCTCGGCAACACTAAGGATCCGTGCCAGAGAGCAGCAGAGGCCAGGCCCACGGTCCTCTCCTGCCTGATGCCTGCCTGGCTAGCAACAGCTCTTTGGGAGCTATATCAGGGGTGGTGAAGTCATTAATGCTTAGCTTAACAGCTTGTTAAATCCCAGTTATCCTTTTTGTTTGTTAGAATTGCTTTACACTTTTGAGTTAGGTATAACCTGTTTACGCGATCTTTTTGCACTTGGCTGAAGGCACTTGAACAAACAGACCCAAAAGAGGATGGTAACACCCACCCTAACAGCTCCTAACTACCAAATAAACTCTCCAAAGAGTTCTCCTGAATCCAGAGCTAGATAAAACCAGTGCCACTTCAGTAAGTCAAAGCCACTTACCCCTTGCTTCTCTGAACACCTGCAGAGCCTCAGGGTTGACTTTGACCCTTCCCATGGATTCAACTCCCAAGGCCTCCACTTTCACCAGGTTCAGATCGGCTCCAAAGTCAATCAAGAGGTGGACGAACGCCGCCTCACAGCCATGCCGCAAGACAGCATCCATCACACAGACCGGGGAGCCCCGGGAGAAGCCTTGGATGTTGATGGGCCCGCAGCAGTTAAAATCTGGGTTGGCTCCAGCCTGGAGCAGCAGCCGGAAGCACTGGAGGTTGTGGTAGGCAGCGCTGATGTACAGCGGGCAGACCACCAGCGTGGTGAGGGGCCGCAGAGAGAGACTGGGGACCCGGGAAGCGAGGTGGTGATTCACATCCACGTCTGCGCCATACCTGGGTGGGGGAGCGAGAAGAGCAGAGGTTTGTAAAGAGGGGCAACAGCACCATAACTGCAGCCCAGGGTGACAAAATGGCAGGGGATGAGGCTGAAGGACACCCGGAGGGTGAGCACCCTGCCTGTCTTTGGTACCTCTGGGGCCCACCACCCAAGAACCGCCTATACCTACCCTCAGATGGACCTGGCGGGGCTTCTGAGTGAGGATGCCGTATCCAGCATGGTCTGATCTTCAAGAAGCAAAGCTGTTTCTCTGCCCGCAACAACCCAGGCTTCAGAGAGACGAGGAGCAGCTGAGGAACATCTTTCCTTGCCCTCCTGAAGGATGTGCCAAGCATGGCCTTGGCACAAGGGATGGCTCAGCCCTGAGCCAGCACCATGTAATGCTGGTTGCTAATGAGCTGGCTGGGGAACTGGGATGTTTCCAAATGACTCAGTTGAAGAGATGCAGTGAAATAACTTCCCCACCAGGATAAAACAGGCCAAAAAGCAATACAGGCAATTGATCTGACTGTCACAAACAGCAGGGAAATGGAAATGGAAATCTGTGCTCAACAGCAAAACATATATGACAAAATCCTGCTCCCGAAGGAGCTGGGGTGGTTGAAATCCCATCAGAAATCCCATCAGGGAGTCAAAAAGAGGCCTTTTCCCTAGTATTCAGCTCAGCTGAAGGGATATACCCGCCAACTCTGAGCATGCAGGAAACTGGAAAAACACAAAATAATTGTGTCAGACCTTCCGCTCTCCCCATCCATCCTGCACAGCTCCATTTGCAGGCTATATATTATAATAGATACCGCACAAGAGATTACAGTTCACTGGCCAGCACTCCAGATACTGAAGGGAAGACCTCCAAGAGCTGCAGCAGCAAACCTCTCAAGCCTTTTGCAACTGGCTCCTGCCTCACCCTACCCCACAGAGAAACCTGTACCTCACATCTTCGCCGCATGGTGCCATGGTGTCCCAATTGCTCCATGAGCCCTGCAGCCAGAGTAAAGCGGGCTCGGGCTTGCTGTGGCGCAGAGAAGGCATGCAAGCAGGCTAAAGCCCTGCTCAATGGACATCAGCATCGTCATGAAACAGAAGCAGTGCCCGCAGCATACTTCTTTTCGGTAAGTACAGATGGCACTAAGTTGTGAACGAGCAGAAAACAAGGCTTATTGGCTTTGGTTCTTCTCTTTTTTTTGTAGGAAGTGAAGAATGCGGCCAAATAAATGGGAGCAAAAAGGCCAAGTGTCACTCTCTGGAAAAGCATAAAATTTGAAAAATGGCAATGCTGCGGAAAGAAGAGATGGCAGAAATAAGCATTTATTTTCCCCAGGCTGGGTAACACCCAAGCAGTGGGGACACTAAGTCCATTTACTTCACATGCATCTTGGATGGGAAGAAGGAGGAAGACAACACAATCCCCTGAGGAGTAGCTGGTTTTAACTGCAGCACTGCAGATGCTGCAAAGCCCTGTCCCTTCTCTCCACAGAGGGATAAAAGGTTCCCTCACTCGCCAGTCCCCCTCTCAAAATTGCAAACTGAGCATTCAGAGAACTAGATTTTTCTATCTTCCTAGATAGCATTATATTCCTCTCTGCAGTTAATAAAACAAGTAAGGAAACCACCTGGGGACAAATCCTGCCTCAAGGCAAGCACAGCTCTTGCTGAACCCAGTAAGGGCTGGTCCTTATCCAGCAAATACTTAATGAAATGCTTCAGTTCTGAGGATGGGAATAGTCTCATTTAAATTAAGCACACACAGAACAAGGGACGAGGAAACGATGGCATGCAGTGTATTTTTACCCCAATGCACAAGATCTCCCAAGCATGAACATCTTGCCTGAGATCTCAGGAGACTGGTGGGGTGGAAAAATGCAGGAAAAGGATGGAGCTAAGCAGTAACAAGACTGCCAAGTGCAAGCTGGTCCTCGCACCAGCCACAGGACTGAGCTTTGCTTTCCAGGCCAGGCAGCTGGCCCAGGGATCACTGTGCACTAAGGGGACATTCCCATCTTTTGGGGATTTCCACAGCACTTTGCTGAATCTGCATCACTTCACCTATGTTGGAGCATAGTGTGCAAAATGAGAAAAGGTGTCTGTTCTCCACAGGCAATCGCACATGTTCCCTGTAGATAAACCTCTTAAAATCAGACTACACAAGCATTTGGATAGAGGCATCTGTGCTGCTGTGGGACTTTTGTAGGGCTGTTGTAGGGCCACTGCCTCCTATGGCCGTGACCCTGACCACACAGCAGGTATCCCTTCATTTCAGTCCCTTTTTTTCCATTGTTGTCATCAAAATTCTCAGTAGAAGCCCCCAGTTCAAAGCAAAATACAAAATTCTACTTTTATCACAGTCAGGCATGCACCTGAGGCATCGGGTTAATTTGTCAGATCTCCTTTTCACCGTTTTAGTGTGGCAAAAGAATCTTCTCATCCTTAATACGCTGGGTCAGCCCTCAGTTACACTGCAAATACAGTGCAACAGTCCGATCCCATCGCAGCATGATCACATCACGAGCTGTTAGGAAAGTAATCTATACCCTGGCAATATAACCATAAATATTTCCGCCAGCCGTCTTATAAAATGGATCACCATTCCATAGCTATGTGTGTATTTACTATTAATGGATACAATTTCACCTATTGCTTGGTTAGCTGGTTCAGCAATTGTAGTAGTATTCAGGAATCCTGATTGTGCTACCATATGATTAAAAAAAAAGAACCAGGTGATGTTTAGACACCTGCAGCAAGCCTGACTGGGTTGGGCTTTCTCTTCAGGACAGTGACAGACACTGAGGCCCTCTCGAGCTGAATATGCTGAAATGTTTCCTTATATCTCCGTAAAAGTGTCCTCCTCAGTGCATTCCCCCTGCCAAATCCTTTAGATCAACGTTTTCAAAATCTCTGAGTGAGCTTTGTAACGTAAGACTGCATTTTAAAATAAGTGATTCTGAACAGACCTGTGAAATCTGTACTTTGAGATATTTGAAATTTTGGGCAATCTGACAATTTGGTATTAGCTTAGCAGCCTTGGGAGAGACATTGTCTAATAAAAAGATACTGGACAAATTCCAGTTAATTTTTAATCCTGAAAGTTTTCCAAAATCTTGCTTTCAATATTGCTGGCAAGGCATCCCAAGGAGCAGACACATAAATCAATGCATCAGCTATCCATGTGCTGCTGAAATACTATTTGCTACATTTCACCCTGCCTTAGTGGATATATCAGGGGAGATTCTCGGGAATGCAGCATGTCAGCTGAACCCTGTACCAACAAGCATGTGGCGATGGGGATATCCTTCTCTCAGCTTGCTGAGAAAGAAGCAAGGAGGGGGGATCAGCTCCCCTTCTTTCTACTTGCCAGCTTTCTTAAAGCTGCACTTGTATGAAAATTAACTTCCCCACAAGCAAAAAGGAAAGGAGAAAAACTCCAAGTATTTTGAAATTTTTCTGTTTAAATCCTTTTGCTTGTTATTTTCTAGCATTTGTGGTCATTGGAGGGATTCCTTGGAGAGCATTTCTGTGTGAATCCAAATACACATTCTTCTCTTTTACTATTTCTTTCTACAACCTGTATTTTCCCCTTATGATCCCTTATTATTTGGCATCAACAGCCCATATAGTTGCTCAGCATAGTCCCTTATACAAAAAGTTTCCAATTTAGAAGGAAGGAAGTATCAAGGCACACAACAGAGAAAGAAACTCAAGTTTGCACAGCCTACTGCTAGACCTTGAGCCCACTCACTGCTGGTGCTGCAGAGGAAGTTTCCTGAGGGATAGGAGGTCACCAGTCACCCACCACCCAGCTAAGGTTACTGTTCATCACCTCATCATGATAGCCATCATTCCCTGCCCCAGAGATGCCACCCCTTCGATGGAGCTGTGCATCAGGTGTCTGGGCAAGGGGAGACTGAATCGGATGCCACGGAGGGTGTCCCAGTGATGGGCAAACAGCAGGCAGCCAAGAACAGTCAGTGCCAGTGACAAGCATCTCTCCTCCTGAGGACAGAAAACGGTCAGAGCAGCAGAGCTAAGCAAAGGAGAGATGTGTTTCCAATTTTTGGTTCGTTGTGGGATCCACCTCACTCATAAATTCAGCCAGGGGCAGGGAGCTGGCAGTCAAGATGGAGGTGGGAAGGAACATACTTTATAAGATTTGGATCTGACTGCATAATGGATGGTAAGCTCAGAAACAGAGACTCCTCTCTTGGGCTTTGTCTTAAGAGAACAGGCATGGGAGTCACACAGCAGGGCACAGACCTGTTGCCAGGCCCAAGCGATGGGGAATACAAGGATATCCCTTTGGGCACCTCTCCACCCTCTCTCCTGTCCACCTCTTGGCCAGCATCACCAGGCCTGTGGAGGCACTGGGCATGCGAGGAGGGAACGGATGCTCTGAGCCCCATGGGGGCAATGATCCCAAGGAAGGAAGAGAGGGAGGTAGAGCCACCCCTCTCCCCATAAGGACCACATCCAGCCTGCACCCGAGCTCTCACCTGATCAGCTCCCGGAGGATGTCTGCCCGGCCCACACGCGCCGCATGGTAGACAGGGGTGCTGCGGTGGTGCCGGCTGCCGTTGGGGTCAGCCCCAGCTTCCAGGAGGATCTTGGCACACTCGAGGTGCCCGTTGACCACGGCCACATAGAGGGCGGTCTGCCCCTTCACATCCACCAGGTCGATCTCAGCCCCTTTGCGGAGGAGGAAGTCAACGCAGGGGCCGTGGCCGGCAGTGGCAGCGATGCGCAGCGGTGTGCAGGGCAGCCAGCCACAGCACCACACGGACTTCTCGTTGATCCGGCTTGCATCAGAGGGGGGAAAAGCATAGGGTCAGAGAGGGCCTCCTGCCACCTTGCACCATCCCACCTACCCCAGCCCCAGAGGAGGATGCTGGGAGAGCCCTAACAGCTCGCTTGAAGCTTTTCCTCCCCATTTTCTGCACTTCATAGCAGCCCTGAAAAGCTCCTGCCAATAACCTGACTAGGCACTGCACGTGGATAGCCAGAGACTACAGCATGTAACAGAGTAGCGCCTGGAAGATGGGCTTTATCGCAGCTCTGCTGTGTCAGGAGCTGCACATACGCACAGTGAGGGACAAACCCTGCCTCAAAACATAATCAAAATTACCAATAAAAAAAATAAAAAACTCCCTACTCCCTTTTTACAGGGACATGTCCCAGATCAGTAGTGACCAAGCTGGGGAACACAACCATTTAATTCAAGCTGCTCCAAAGGGAGCAGAAAGTCAGGAAAGCAGCAGGGAAACAGCAAGAGGACACGGGAGGAGGGGAGCAACGTATGGAAATGCAGGCGTACATCTGTATCACACCATTGGCAACATCCACACTCAGCCAGGTACCATGGGATGACATAAACACAAATCCAGGGAAACTCAGCCAGCCCTGCCAGCAAGGAGTAAGCTTGGGAGGTGCAGCCACCCTGCACTGAACAGCATAAGTAGGCCACTAGCTTCCTTGGTGGATGGCTGTACTGGCCTAAGAGCCTTTTCCAATTTATTGAAAGAGATGGCTCTGGCTGGCAGCTGCTTAGACCCCCTCTGAAATAACCTGTATTAGTTGTCATGCTCATCCAGACCTCAGGTTAACCCTACAAATCTCATAAACGTCCAGACCTCACTCACTATCTGCAAATCACTGCAGGTACTGTTTTAGCAGGAACACACAGAGAGGAAAGGATTTCTTTAAGGCCAATGTAGGCTGGCAAAAGTGCTCTTTAGCCAGTGTAACAGTGGATTTGCTCTTCTAGCTCACTCCACGCAGGCCCACGTAACTGGTACAGGACAAAGCAGTTTTTATACAGTGCATTTACAGAGTCTGCTAGGAGAGCAATGCCACAATTTTTTTTTTCAACCATGTTTTAGGAAGAGGAGTAGTATAAACCCCACATCATGCCCTCAGCTGTCAAGTCTTATGATAAAAGTGCTCCCTTTAACGTTGGAGATTTGGGGATGTCCACCCCATACCAACCCCCAAATTCAAAGAAGTCACTTCTCTGCTCACTCCACCACCTGCTGTGGTGGTGTGGGTCCAGCCCTCCTCCTCCCACCAAACTTTGCTTTATCCTGCAAGGAAGGATGCCTGGCCCTGCTGCCACAGGGCTCCCACATGGTGTGGCAGAAAAATAAGGCAAAAATCTCAGACCAAGGGTCCTAAGAGCCCCAGCTGCCCAGGTGGCATAAAGAGGGGCTGGCTCATTGTCATTTTTTGCTGAAAGGCCACTTTTTTTGAGGCTGGGAGACATTTTGCACTCTAAGCAGTTTTCTCCACGGTGCAGGAAAATTAATTAACTGTCCCCACGGTCACAGACTTAGCACTGGGCAGATTTTGTAACATTGGGTGTTTCAGGTTTATATTCAGCTGTAATCCCTTTTGTATGTTTTCCCCATTACACGTAGGCTCCTATTTTCACGGTATTACATTTCTGCCCTGATCTGAAAAGAGCCCGTGCTCGGCCGCCGCACGCTCGCAAATGGGCTTGAGATTTGCCTCCTGGGAGACCACGGTGGGACGATCTGGGGGGGTGGGGAGGGGCGAGTGGAGCATCTTCCCAACCTGACAGTTCTCCCGTAAAAACAGAAGGAGAAGGGGTTGGGTGCCTCCAAAAGGAGCAAGCTGTGGGAATGGTGCGGGGCGAGCACCCCAGGGTTGTCATCAGCCGAAATCCTTGAAGCGGGACCTCGCACCTGGTCTCCCCCTTGTCCCCGTGAGGGTCTCCAAAGGCAGCGCTGAGGGTGCGGGCAGGGTGGGGTGCGAGAAAGGCCCCCCCCGCCCCCCCTCACCTTTGGAAGCTCTCCTCTTGCAGCAAGCTCTTGAGGGTGGGCAGGTCCCCCACGTAGGCCGCGTCGTGCAGGCGGGTGTCCTCGCAGTGCTCGATGGGGTGGTCGCAGAACTGCTCCCGCAGCCACTCCTTCAGGTTACGACCTGCGCTGGAGAGAGAGCGGAGCGGAGCGGAGCGGGGCGGGGGGGGGGGGGAAGCCGGGTTGAGCCCTGGCCCGGGGCGGGGGCTGTCCCGTCCCCTCCCGGCACAAGGCGAGCCCGAAAGGAGCCCCTGCCACAGAGCGGGCCCGCAGCGCCGCTCCCCCGCCCCACGTTACCTGCCTGCCCGCCTGAGGCGGCGGGCGGGTCCCCGCCGCCGGGGGGGCCGCCCTCCGCCATCTGCCCCTCGCCCCGCCGGGCCGGCTC